TTTTGGGTTATTTATCTAGATTCAGGTCCACGTGCATCTAGATGTACGTGGAGCTGAATCTAGATAAATAACCCAAAAAATTGGGTCGTTTTTGCTTGGGTAGTTCCGAAGGTTTCTAGGAAACCTTTCTAGAAACCGAAGTATTTTCTGTTGGTTTTGTTCACCATTTATTGAATTTTACGGTATGCTGCAGATAAAATAGCGTATTTCGAGGAAGCATATGAAAGTCTTTTATGCTGATTATTTAAGTTAAAATCGTCTTTCAGCGTTTTTAAAAATTAATTCCGTTTCTCAACACTTCAAAAAATAAATCCTTTTTTTCTCATATTTCACGCAATTAAAAACACTTTTTTTACATCAAAAAACGCGTCTTTTAATTCAAATTGGAACGCGTTTTTGCCTTCTTTCACACGCAAAAAAACGAATACTTTTTCGGCGTGGATTTAACACCGGGTATCATGGTTTCGGCTGTATTTGGAATAACTTTCTAACGAAGCAATCTACCGCACGGCTGTTTCTACCAGTACAAAAAGAAGAGAATTTTGTCATAAAACCTTGAGTTATTCAACGTCCTTTCACTGGTTAAAATCGGTTAACTTTTCGTTTCGCATTTCTAAAAATGTGAAAATACATGATTTTATGGCAAAAAATTCTTCTTTCAAAAAGGAATCGACGCAGGTCGATGGCTCGTTTCGCGAAAAGGTTATTGGAAAAGATAACCAAGTGCATGGTAGTTAAAAAACAGTAATAGTGCGTTTTCCCGTCTGCGGTGGAGATGCGAAATTACTCGAGGCTCGAAGTATGTTTACTGAGACCAGTGTCTTCCATTTATGGACTTTGACGCAACGTTCTACTTTCAAAAAAAGAAACTTTTTTCTTACCACTTGATGTTCAATTGCTTCTAAAAGTACTTTAATTTCGCCATTATTAATCCCAACCCGAAAACTTTTGTCATCGATTATGATAGACTGTGATACTGTTGAAGCACGCTGCTGATGATTATCATCGGCAAACGATCGTGGCACCGTAAGTGCAACCTTTTGTACACCAAATTGTTGCTCGAAACTACACTGATTTTGATTTGCAAGTGGTTCGAGAACGGAACGACATTCGTTTTCATCGTGAAAGCCCACTTCAACTTGGAAGATCTCTGTGTCGTCCGAACTTTCATCTGCTGACTTGCTAATTATTGGGAAAAATCTTTGTGAGAGAAATGCATCGTGAGAATCCGGAGAATGCTTTGGCGGCAAGTTGCAGTTATAATTCATTCTGGACTTTGTCCCATCAACGACATAAGTTAAAAGTGTGATTTTCTCCTTGCGCCTCTTACGATCAAAAAACCCGAACGTATTTTCGTAGTTCTTTTTGTAAAGAAAAAATGTCTTCCCTTTTATTACACAATTTCACCGCTTATTTGGCTTCTTCTCTTTTGGCTGGTAGAGAGTTGTGTAAGATGACAGAGAACTGTTTTTTGCTAGATGAGTGATTCTTCTTCATTCTTTTATTTTCTACTCGTTCTCGGAGTCAATACAAACCAAATAAAAGAAAAATCGTACTACAACTGGTAACGTTATGTATTTCAACCTATTGTCACCACTGGATACAACTTTTCTTTTATGATGAGGGAGCAATCAAAGATGAGAATGTGCTGTTATCCTGACAGTTTGCTAGCTCTGCTACGTCCCTAACCTCAAGAGATCGTCCTAACCTCAAGAGACGTCCTAACCCTCATATTTTTTTCATGTGCCAAAGGCGGACCCTTGCCGTCGAATTTTTCGGAAAAAATGAAAGTGCGTCTTTAGAAAAAGTGAGACCACTAAAATACTCAAAATTTGACGTTGATTCCGAATATGTAACTCAGCGTTATTTGGGTACTCGACGCTGGCTAACCCGTTCTCGTCCTCTGTGATATAAATCACCAAAATGGCTCTGAAATTTAACATTTTTAGATTTCGAAAATGTTTTTGGTTTATCCAAAATGTTTGGCATGTATATTTAAAATAATCCCGTGTAATTTTTGCACTTATTCGTTTAATCACTTTTGGTCTATCTTAGATATGCCATAAGATTTTAAGATTTTTACTCTAGCCTACCTGAAAATCGCGTATATTGCACAATTTGAGCGTAGAGCTTTACCGTATTTAAAAATCTACCTTTCCGAAAGAGTGAATAAGCGTAAAACGACCTTTCACAGAGCCGCTTTCTTCTAGATCTATGGTGGACTTACTAATATAAATTTTGAAGAAATGACAGAATATAAAAGTGATCGTTCGGTTCCAGTGAGGCGCAAACTAATTAACCACGCTTTCCCCAATGTAAGTGTATCACCATGAAGAAAATTCTTATGCTTCAAATGAAATAAATTTTACGTGTCTATAGACTTGGGACATCGAGAACAACAATGGTAGTAAACGTATTCCATTGACGTCCACCTCAAAGCAATATTTTCAAGTCTTGAAACAGTTTGATGATGCAAATATGAAGGGAAAATACACGCAAATAATAAGAATCGAACGAATACACAACGAACGATGGTTTTTACAGTACTCAGCGTAAGTAGAAGTTTTTTTGAATCTGTACACTATTTTCGAAGCTACATATTCTCGTCACTTTACAGTCATCGTGATGAATTCAAACAGCGTTTCAATGATAATTCGTGCGAACGGTCTCTATTTCATGGTTGTAGAGACGTAACTATTAATTCAATTATTAATGAAAATTTTAATCGTGCATATGCTGGTGTTAACGGTAGACTATAAGTATTTTTTTCAGTTTTGAGTTGACAAGTCTAGTTTCTAGATCACAAAATTCACTGCAAAATGAGAAACCACTCGACTTTTTGCGATCTAAATTCACCCATTTATGGAGTGTTTTAAAAGTAAAGCGTGATTTATAAAACTTTTTACTTTCGACATTTTGTCCTCGTTCTGACAGAACGTAAATAATTCTCTAATATGATAGACAGACAGCAAAACCAGTTTGGTTCATAATCAGGCAAATGTTTGACTTTTATTGTAAGCAATTTTAATGAGTTATAAGCATTCTGCTAAAAGTCCCTTTTTACAGTGTCTTAGTACAAACAATAATTATAACTCAAAGTGTCAATAGCCAAACTTGACAACCATTATAGCCCTCTCAAAGTAGGGGTTGCCTTAAGCTTATATATCGACTTAAAGACTTTTTAATGAGTTTTGCCAAGTTTTTGCTTTCGTTTGTATATTTTCGGCCACGTTGAGCATTTCTATCGTCTCGGAATTCGATAGTTATCTTTCGTTCAGGTCGAAAAATCAAAAAACGTTTGATTACTGCCGAATGCGTCATCTCAAAAATGAAATATCTAAACCTTGATGAGGGAGCAATCAAAAGTGAAAATGTGCTGTTATCCTAACAGCTTACTAGCTCTGCTACGTCCCTAACCTCATGAGGTTAGGGACGTAGCAGAGCTAGTAAGCTGTTAGGATAACAGCACATTTTCACTTTTGAT